CAAACCTTACATTGGAAAGCACTCAAAATACCTTGGCTGCAAAAATGCACTCAGCCATAGCAATGGTTGTGGACATGATGCAGCATCCTGCAAATGAATCACAGGGGCACGATGCAGTGGCACTCAGAACAGAGCAGGCCGCACACACACACACACACACACACACACCCGACTCAGTGCCTTTGTCCTTATCTTTATCATGTTCACCCGCCTCTTGAACGTCCAGACCAGGTCTGTAACAGCTCTTTCATCACCTGCCCACGAACCCTAGCATCTATGCCATCTGACGTCTGTTGCTGTTGATTGTTTTTTTAATGCCAAACAAGCTAACAACCTCACTACATAGCAAAGCCAAACTCACTGCCCTCAAACTGCTGCCGACGCACAGACCCCTTGCGGCGGGTGGAACTGCCCCTGTGGGTTTCCGAGGCTGTCACTCTGTGTGGGCATAGAAAGCCTCATCTGTCACCTGAGGAGCAGCCGGTGACCTCGAACTGCCGGCCCTGAAGTTAGCAGCCCACCTCGTAGGCCCCCAGCCCCCAGGAGATAGGACCGACGCCACTGACAGTTCGTTCTCAAGACGGGAGGTTCAGCAGCATAAAGTGAAGTGATGTTCAACTCGCCCTCAGACGTGACCGGGGTCGCAGTGAGGCAGAATTTGCACAGCCACTATGGAAAGCCGTCCTTAACCCAATGCAAACGGGAATACCAGCCATCTCTGTGCTCAGTATCCACCCCCAGGAAACGGAAGGACAAAACGGGACAGGCGTACACAGCCCACGCGTATTGGGCAGCGCTGTCCACAAAAGCAAAAAGAAATGGAAACACCCAAACTGCAGGTCTGCGGAGGAGGAAGAGATAAGTCAACTCTGGGGTGGGCACACAGGGGCGCTCGCTCACTGCGCCCAAGCCGATCCCGACCCTCGCAGCCCGACAGGACGGGGCGGAGCTGCCCCTATGGATTTCCCAGGGTGCTGATCTTGAGCAGAAAGCCTCATCTTTGTCCCCGGGAAGGGCTGGTGTTTTCAAACGGCTGACCTTGCGGTGACCGCTGAGCCACCGGGGCTCCTGATGGGATGCTACGCATCCCTAAGCACAACGACGAAACTTCCCTGGCACCTCCTGACACGGGGACTTGGGGGGCCCTGTGCTCGGCCCAGTAGTCAGTCTCACAAAGACAAACACTGGGCGCCACCCACACGAGAGAGGAGACAGCCTGCTCACATCAGGAGAGGTGCCCTGGGAGCAGCTGCAAAGCGGGGAGGGGGTAGAGAAAGTAAATTAAAAAAATAGACACACATGCATGCAGAAAAGATGATCAACTTTGTTAGAAATTTAGATAGTTAAGGTCTGTTGTGCCAACCTGGCTGATAAACACATGTGGGGTTAACTGAAGGGCGGAGGGATAAATGGCTCGGTGAGCCTCACCTTTCTAGTTCTCAGGTCTCTTGCTTTGTGATGGTTGGACCAGAGTGCAGCAGCCTTGGCCAGTTCCCTGCTTCAGCTGGCAAGGCTCACTTCCTGCAAGGCATCCCCGAGGAGAAGCCACATGGACCTACCCCGATGCAGCCCTGGGTGCTGGAGCAGCTGAGATGCTGACACACTCACTGACTCGGCTTTCCTCCTGCAGTCGGTGTCATTGTGTGTGTTTTGTGAGATGGAGGAGGACTTTGTAGATCGGAGTTGGACATATAGGCCAAGGTCAGACTTAGGGGCTTGGACAGCACTGGGTTGGGATGCTTCCTGGATGTGCACTTATGCTTTGTGTAAAACGCTCTCTTATACATCGGCATGTCTGGGTGTGTTTCCCTCGTCTACTCAGACTCACACAGTGGTGGAAGACGTGCCGGCTGGAGCCCAGTCCGGCCTTCCGGGCAATCATTCCCACACTGCCAAGGTTGGGGGGGACATTCATCTTTGTCAGTGATGGTGGGAGGTGAGACCATGACTTGGGAAGTGCAGACATCGCACAGGAGCCCCGGTGGCGTAGTGGGTGACCACTGGGTTGCTGACTGCAAGGTCAGCAGTTCAAAACCACCAGCTACTCTTTGGGAGGAAGTGGGGCTGTCTGTTCCCAGAAAGAGTTACCGTCTCTTAAACACACAGGGGCAGTTCTGTCCTGTCCTGCAGGGTCACTATGAGATGGCATGGACTTGAGGGCAGTGAGTTTGGTTCTATGTATTATATTTATAGTCCTAACTATAATTTTAAAGTGCATGTAATTTTAAATAGCATAATGGTAGTGGTTATATATGGCATCTAGCACTTACATATTTGTAAAATAATTTGCTTGCTGTATAGAGAACCACTGAGGTATTTATGAAACCCTCCCTGAGAAGCTCAGGTAACATCCCCCTTAAATAAAAAGGGCAGACAAGCAGGGCCCTTTTCGGAAGGTGTTCCGGACGTGGCAACTGCACTGGTGAGGACAGTTAGGTCATTCTTAGAGGGTAGCGACGCGGCCCCAGGAGGATGTCGCTGGGGAACCTGCCCCAGCCCCCCCAGCCTGCTTCCCCTACCCCAGACCTCATCCTGTCCCCCAAACACAAAGGCCGCAGAAGGAGAACAGGTTTGGAGTCTCCCCACAGGGCCCAAGCTGCCACTTGGCGTGGGTGATGTCCCTCCAGTAGGACAGGATTCTCCCGGGAGGGGCAGGAGGTGGAAACTCCCCTTCTGACGTCAAAAGACCCGGGCGGTTCACCGTGGCTTTGCACATCCGGGTTTAGTGAAGGTTTCCGTGAGTCCAGAGCCACTAGCACTTGACCGCCTCATCTCACAGGGATCTGCCCCTGCCTCCCCCAGTGACCACCGGAATTGGCTGGGGTGAAATTCACTTAGGTGAAAGACCCAGCCAACCTCGTGGGGGTCACTGACGTGGAGGTCACTGACGTGGAGGTGATCCCATGAGAACCCACCTTGAGCCCTGAAACCTGGTGTCAGAAATAGGACAGAGCACCTCCTCCTCCTCCCCAAGCCCATACCTGCGAGGAGGCCGAGGCTGGCCTTGGCCTTGGAAGCTACAGGGACGGCCGGGAAGAAGCTCCTTCCAGACTTGGGCGGCTGAAGGAGGAGCGCAGTGGGCAGTTGGCACTCGGCCTGGTGCTCCACGACGGGAGGCTGGGGCCGCTCTGTCCCCTGCAGGAAAAGACCACAGGCAGCACATGGGTGCAGGGGTGGGGAACGTAGAGGCCACTGGGGTGAGCTCGAGTCCTGCCCTGGTTCAAACCCACAGTGGCCAAACAGGGGCCATCACCCCAACGGTGTCCTCTGAGCCCAGGGCATGAATGCCCACTCTGCCGGTGTCCCCAAAAGTATGTGTCCACCTGGCTGCTGGACCACGTGTGTTAGCATCCTGTAACCGCCCGCCCGCCCTGTTCCATCTGACGTCACCATCCTGTGTGCAGTGTGAGTGGGGCAGCTGTGCGATCTGCAGGCAAGGGGCTCCCTGAGGCAACTCCCTGGAGACGCAAATAGGGTTTTCACCAGCAGAGGTGAGCAGGGGCCACCATCACCTGTGAGCAGAGAGCATGTCCTTTGGACCCAGGATCCCTGGGCTGGGAACCTCCTGGACCCAGGGGAAGATGGATGCCAGGACACATGGAGACCCTGAGGGACCCTGGGCCCCCAGATGCTTGAAGGGCACAGGGGACCTCCTGCTGAGCTGGGAGCCAACCGGGAGAGAAGGACTTCCCCTCAAGGGAGTGAGCACCCCAGATTCAGACCTCCAGCCTCCTAAACGGTGAGAGAAGACCCTTCAGTCTGTTAAACCACTGAAATAACCACACTGGGGAATCAGGGTGCACCTTCACTGCCATCCCGTGTCCCTGTGGTGGGGACTCTCATCTCCACTGACCCTCAGACCCGGCCAGCTGCCTGGCTTCACTCTGGACTCAGTAAACACCCAGGTGTCAGCTGGGGCCTGGGGAGCAGGGCAGCCAGGCAGAAGGGAGACCTGGGGACCACCGCTTCCTCTCTCTGGCTTATTGAGCCCAAGGGCCAGGGAGAGGAGTGTAGGAGCGTGGGGGCCACCCAGCCCCACTGCCCGTGCCTCTGCCTCTTCCCCTTGGCAGACAATGAGACCCCCAGGTCCCCATCACTCACAGACTCCGCCCCTCAAGGAGCACGAGCTGCCCCTGGGAGTGATCTGAAAGTAAACGTCCTGGCCCCGTGGGTGTGATCACAGGTCACTGCCATCCCAGACTGGGGTGGGCCTAAGCTATGGGCTGGCATCAAGATGAGCCATTCAAGCCCACAGACTGGGAGCTGGGGAAGCCCACAGGGGCAGTGCCACCCTGTCCTAGGGGGTTGCTGTGAATCGACTGGGTGGCAGGGGGATTGGGGGTTGAGGGAAGCCCGTGGCACAGTGGGCTGGGTGCTGGGCTGAGAACCACCAGGCTGGGGGTTCAAGCCTGCAGGTGCTCTACGGGAGGGAAGGGGTTGTGCCCTCTGTTCCCATCAAAGGAGGCTGGGGGGCAAGTGGGCTCGGCGTTGGGAAGCATTTCCAATCCCCCAGCTGCTCGGAGGACCAGGCCCCACAAATGATTGACAGCCTTGGGATCCCTACACAGGCTCCTTCTGAGTAGGCCACAGGGTGGGATTCCCCAAAAGATGCGCCCCACAGAAA